GGTAAAAACTATGTTGAATTGATTTAATAAAGCATTCTTCAATCAAAATTCGTTATATCTTTTAATCAGAAGATCAGCAAATACTTCATACTTAATAGCTCAAGAGAAAGGATTTCTTAGGCGACTACTAACACTTATGCCACAACCTCGATGGGCCCGCATAAAAGGGCAGCACATGCATATATGTGCACGGCTGCATGTGAAAAATATCGTCGTTTAAAGAACAAAATCGCGTATCGTCGTTCTGAAAAACCGCGTAACTGAAATTTTGTGCCAAAAATCTTATTTGCTCACACAAGCTCTTGACTCAATTCTAATCCATTCCTCCTAAAATATACTAGCCAGAGATGCGATTGCTTTATAAAAACGAGAACCATTTTGAAATATGAGTGTTTTTACTCTCTAGAAAATGATTTATGCAACCTCACATACGTGGTTTTGCATTTTGTTGATACGCGGATTTGTACTTTAAACGGCGAAATGCATTTAACAAAACATTCTTAAGTAATAAGGTGATGCCACTTCAAATCATACTTAGTCTAGTCTGCCGCAACCTCCGACAACTCGTGCAGAGTTTTTGCGGACACTGATCACCAGATATGTAAACTGAGGGTTATTATTGCCCACAGTATTGTTTTATAAATACATACAAATATCCTGATTCCCCCCCTCGCTGAGGTATTCAAGGAGAATCATTATTTTATACAAATAGGCAGAAGTTTCAAGTTTCCTATTTTACGTTTCCGACGCACAGTGGAACAGAATGACCTAAAAGTTGGCATCAACTAAACGGCTTAGGCTGGGAAATTGAAAATTGGCATTGATTCTTCTTGATAAAATAAGTATTTGTACTAAATTTCAGAAAGATATCAAGCTTATCTAAAGTGTCCCAAAATAACTGTTGCTTTTTAAGAGAAAAAATAACCAACAAAACAGAACAGGCGGTTTATTTTTTGTAGATGTGTGCTCTTCTCAGTGGAAAAGGGTTATTTGCATACATGTGCGTAGACAGGACGAAGTTTAGGGAAGGGGCCTATACAAAAAAAAGATTTTAAAACCAATAACTTACTTACTAAAAAATGTTGTATTATAGCTTAAAACTATTGTAACCAATAGAGGTAAATATGTTGTACAAAAACACATAAACAGAAGTTCACAAAAGTTGATATAAAACTATTCGTCAATTTAAATAGTTAACTTTTTACTGCGCATGTTTATTTTACGGAGGAGGAAGCATCGAAAGCCTAACCCCGGCAGTGTGAGACTTTAACCCAAACTAAACTTCCTACCGTCATGTACCGTTCCCCTCCCGGTACCACCGTCAAGGATTTCGTCGGGATTATAACACTGTGTGACTGATAAGGTTATA